TGTGAAATCATGAGGCGCAAATTCAGTTTTTGTTTGGGATTTGTGTGGCTTAACCAACAGTTTTTCCCCATTTGATAATGTTCTTATATCAACCCTAAGGAAAACCTATCACAGGGTTCTCAGGAGTGTGTGACTTCCCCAAAGTCACCCAATGGGCTTCTATGGCCAAACGGGATTCAAACCCTGTTCTCCAGAGTCATAGTCCAACACTCAAACCAGTACACCACACTGGCTGTCACATTTGCACCATTCTATATTAATAAAGGACACAAATGCTGCATGCTCTCAGAGGCACCCTTCTCATTACACACCCTGTCCAGTAGTGAAGACAGATGCCACAAATGATCCCCAAGGAAGCTGGACAATGGAACAACATTTCAGTAGCTACAACTTTTCTCACTCTTAGAACCTTCCACAGCACAAGCTGCACTTGCAGCATTTCTTCACCTAGCATTTCCTAGAATCAGAACCTTTAATATTCTTTTGCATCCAGACTTTGAAAAGAAAAAAAATTAAGAGGTGTAGCCAAAAAGTTAAACTCCAAGCTCTGGATCTAATCAATCTGGGAGCCAGAGTCTAACCAAATAACTTTCTCAACCTCTGAGTTGGTTCTAGCAATCCTTTAGCTTTGCTGATTAATTAAACAGCTATAACTTCAGAGCATAAATTTGGAGACGGTACACTGCGTCCTGGGCAAGGGATGCTTGGCACAGCTTCTCTCTGGATCTGATGAAGCCCCGGGGATTTGTCAGCTGCCTTTGGTCCGACAGGGCTAAAAAATCCCACCATGGGGCCACCACCACCTAGACCCCCAACCCCAGTGTCCAAGCCTGACCTCCTGGGCAAAGAGAAAGCAACAAGCATCCCTCCACCTTTGAAAACCCACCCAGGCTCATTCTTTTCTAAGCTTCTGCCATTGGAGACAGTGTGGTATAGAGCACTGACTGGACTATGACTCTGAAAAGCAGGGTTTGAATCCTACTGGGTGACCTTGGACAAGCCACACTCCCTCAGCCTCTCAGAGGGTGGGCATGGCCAACCCCTTCTGAACAAATCTTGCAAGAAAAACCCATGATAGGTTCACCTGACGGCCACCCTAAGTCGGAAACAACTTGAAGAAGGCACCCAGCAGCAGCAACAACAACCTGTTGGAGTGACCTGGTAGACCGGGACCGCTGCCCACCTTCCTCCCTTTGCAAGTTAGCAGGGAAGTGTGATAGGGTTTAATTTCTAAACCCAGATGCCCAAACATGCTCAGAAACTTTTATTTTATTTTATTTTTTCCCCTTTGTTCCTCATCCATTCCCATCTCAGGGGTCTTGTAGCACCTTTGAGACGAACTGAAAGAAAAAAGAAAGCTCATGCTGCCAACTTATTTCTTTCAGAATGTGGAGAGATCTTGTAGCAGCTTTGAGACTAACAGAAGGAAAGAAGTTGGTAGCACGAGCTTTCGTAAACTTCAGTCTGCTTCTTCAGATACTTTTGAAATCAATATCTGCAACTGAGGAGGTAGACTGAAGTCTCCGAAAGCTCATGCTGTCAACTTCTTTAGGTTACCTCAAACCTGCTACAAGATCTCTTTGCATACTGATTCTACAGACTAAGGGGGGTTGCAGACCGCCAGAAATAGTGCAAATTGAGACCACTTTTAGGGTTAGGGTTGTGGCTAGGGTTAGGGAATCATGGGAACTGTATTTTATTGTGGCACCAGAACTCTCTGACAGAGAAGGCTCAATGTCTCAGAAAAAAAACAATTCCCATGATTCCCTAGCACTAACCCTAACCCTAAAAGTGGACTCAATTTGCACTATTTCTGGCAGTCTGCAACCCCCATAACATAGCTATATCTTTGAATTCTTTCTTTCTGTAAGTCTCAAAGGTGCTACAAGATCTCTCCACATACTGAAAGAAGTTGGCAGCACGATCTTTCTTTCTTCTTTCTTTCATTTAGTCTCAAAAGTGCTACAAGATCTCTCTGCATTCTGATTCTGCAGACTAAGGGCCTTTACAGACTGCCAGAAATAATGCAGCTTGAGGCCACTTTAACTGTCCTGGCTCTGTGCCAAGGAATCATGGAAATTGTAGTTTTTTCTGAGACACCGTGCCTTCTCTGTCACAGAGCTCTGGTGCCACAATAAACTATAGTTCCCATGATTCCTTAGCACTGAGCCAGGACAGTTAAAGTGGCCTCAAGCTACATTATTTCTGGCAGTCTGTAAAGGCCCTAAAACAGGCACGCACAACATATGGCATGCGGGCCGTTTGCGGCCCCCCAAAGGATTTCTGGTGGCCCATGAGAAAGAGCAAGGAGGAGGAGAAGGAGGAGGAAAGGTGATTGTTCTGTCTGTGCCTTGCATGGGCTGGGAGGAGTGATAGCTAGGGGATGAGAAGAGAAAGATGGAGCATTGCTACCACCTGCGCCCCCTCCACTGTTGCCTCTGTCCCAGAGAAGTGAGCCAGGCAGTCCAGTTAGGGCCGGAGAGTGCTGTGCAGACAGGACCACCTGGCTCGGAGGCACCATCTGAGGGAGAGAGCCTCCACCCTTTCCTCCTTGTCCTGCTCAGGGCTCCCAAAGCCAATGATAATGTGCTCCAGGGAGGTCTGGTGCTGCTGCGGTTGTCTCCTCATGCATGGGTTGGGGCATGCAGTGGGAGCCAGCGTTTAATGCCCCCCCCCATTCCCATGTTTTCTGTTGTTGCATGCCTTCAAATCGTTCCTGACTTATGGCGACCCTAAGGTGACCCTATCGTGGGGCAAGATTTCTTCAGCTCTGGATCTAATCTGAATCTGCCATTGCCATCCCCTGAGGCTGAGCGAGTGTGACTTGCCCAAGGTCACCCAGTGGGTTTCATGGCTGAGCTGGGAATCAAACCCTGGCCTCCAGAGTTGTAATCCAACACTCAAACTACTGTACCATGTGGGCTCTTATATGGGTTTTTTTTCTGCAGCAAGATTTGTACTGAGGGCATTTGCTATTGCCCTCCTCTGAGGCTGAGAGAGTGTGACTTGCCCAAAGTCACTCAGTGGGTTTCATGGCCGAGCTGGGATTCGAACCCTGGCCTCCAGAGTTGCAATCCAACACTCAAACCAGTACACCACGCTGGCTCCTATTCCCATATAGTACTTGTGAAATAATTGCAGATTTTTAAATTTTTATTTATTTATTTATTTGTTCTTGAATGCCTTCAAGTCATTTCCGACATATGGCAACCCTAAGGCAACCTTATCACAGGGGTTTCTTGGCAAATTTCTTCAGAGGAGGTTTGCCATTGCAATCTTGTGAGCCTGAGAGAGTATGACTTGCCCAAGGTCACTTACTTGGTCACAAATTGTACATACCTTGGAATGCATCACCTATGTTGGCAGTCCCTCCCTCCCAACACTTTTTCATTTTCTCCCCAATCATCTCAGAACTGGGAGATAGAAAGATTGTTTAAAGCAGCATTTAAATATGGACTAGATTTTTTTAAAAAAGTAAATGGTTCATATGCTATAATCATTATTCAGTTTTGTAGCTATTATTATAGAAAGACATAGAGTGCAAACTGCTCAAATATAGTTGTCTTCTGGAGTGAGATGTGCTTTTCCAACTGAGTCACCTACAAGTAAGTAGGGAGCTTCTAGCAGGTGAGAGGGTGGGAGCACAATGGCATAGGGGACATCAGGAGGGTTTTTTGTGCATTTATATTTGTAAATTTTATTAATTTATATTATTTTTATTTTGCTATGTCTGTCCTACATTTTTCTTGAATGCCCAAAATTTGAAGTGCCTTGCCCTCCATTCTGGTTATGACACCTAGTCACACTGCTCAAGGCTCCTCCGCTACCTAGCTTTCAACAGAGATTTAAATTATTATTATTATTATTATTATTATTATTATTATTATTA